AATTCTTACCAGAAGGATACACAGAACTCTTATCAGAATATGAATAGCAGTGCTTTCAAGGCGCAGACCGAGTCTTTCTTCAATAGAGTACAGAATGAAAATGCAAATAGGCCCGAGTAGGGAATCTCTCTTATTCATTTTTATTCATACTTAGTGGAGACTAAGATTAATATCGATTCTTTCATTCAGCGATTTACCACCGAATCAAGGAGGAAAATACAGCGGATTTGGGTATCAAATGGATGCACCACCCAAGAGCACGTCTCAAGAATTTTTCGACACTGCTGTATCTTCGTTGGCCAGTGTATTTATCTTTTTATTTTGGTCACTCAAAATCCTGCCTACGGACTGAATAACAAAATAGTATATTTCATCATAATGTGTGGATTCAACGATTTATACGCACTTTTGGAAATGCCAATTGTATCTATAAAGCCACTTTATCCGCACAGCGTGATGAAAAATATTTTACGTTTCATGATTTTATAATTAATTTTATAATGATACTTTCAATATTTATTGATTGTGTATAGGGATGGTCGGTATTCTCATCAACGGCATCAAAAGTGGCGTCTAAAGCAACAGAAAATGCTATAAAAATCGGAGGCATTGCTTCCCAGAAGGTTCGATCAATTCCTCATAATTGTGTTTAATTAACTTTTGTTTATTTTCCTAAGTTGTTAGTCCATTTATTTCTGTTTTGGTTTTATTTATGAATATAATTAGGTTCGAGATGGGACTCTGTTGGAAGATGTTGGAGCGCAAGTCAATAACTTGGCCTCTAAGGTCTCTATTTTTTTCATTTAATTTTCGTTTATAATTCATTGGCATGTTCTACTCAGGGATAATGAATGAAGTTACGAGTTTATGATTGTTTTAGGTGGGAGACTTGGGTAGACGTGGTTGGGGAGATATTGCTGGCTCGAATTCCTGTGCACAGCATTGTGGACCACAGTACGACACCCAGGACAATTACCAGAATTTAGGAACGTATCAGAGCAGTTATCATGGGTCATTTCCCAATGAAAACTCGTCACTTGTTAATTCTAACGCAAGGTAATGGATTAATTCGCAGATTAAATCTACTCAACGGATCGACAATTAAATGGATGGAAATGGAAATCGCTCGAATTACTAACTGATTTTTTGATAAATATTTATAAATACATTTCATGACTCGACACCAGAATTACGGAAAGAATAATAAACTGAATATCACCGTAGGGGTGGTGCATCCGGGACTAGCTCTCCAACTCAAGATTGGGACTGGGAAAACCCATCGAAGCCCTCGAATGGCAGTTCTCCGAATTCGAAACAATCAACAAAAAAAACGAGAGAAAAGAAGGTGAAAGAAGCTCCCCTCATCGATTTTGATGCAAAAACCGACGTGAAAACTTGGAACACGACTTCAAAAGCCGAAGAAGATGCCTGGGAAATCCTGAAGGATTAACTACAACTAACTCTGATTATTTCACTCATTAATTATGCAAAATTTGAATAGTAAATTTTACCGAAATATTAAAGTTAAGTATCAAAGGAATAACGAAAGAAAGCCAAGAATTGCTGAAGTACAGAGTTGCCTAGAATTGTACATAAATTTGATCGGAGTAATTGTTGCATTGAAAAGTTATAATCATTCCTCCACAGGGAAGATCAGACGTTCATAAGATTTTATTTTACCCAAAGGATCATCATACCTGATTCCACGCACACAATCCTGTTTAATTCACTGCCCATCCACAGATATAAGTATCATACGCCTATTATTCCACTACTGTTTACGTTAATATGGATAAATTATTGAACGTTCAGTTATTCCAATTCATTTAATTGTAATTACCAATTATATATCGAACAATAGTTCATATGCGAGATTAAATATTGAAGTGAATAAATGATGAATCAGTTCAATTCACAGGTTTCATTATTACTCTCGATTAATCACAGAGAATTGGGATCAATCGTCGGAATCTCTCTCCTCTTTAGGTACCACCACTTTCGCACGTCGAGAATAAGTTTTCCGAGTTCTTTCTTGCTCGATACTCTCGATGTATTCAGTAATTTCAGATCGACAGTACGGCCACACTTCGTGGGTTGTCTGAGCCATTACGTAGGCAATCGTTTCGTGGGTCATTCTGGAAATACCTACAGGAGGATGTCCGGAGGTGGCTTTTGATAACGC